TATTTGGCAGTAAGTAAGAGATTAAACCCCAATAACGTTAATTTTCATTTCCCGTTCGTTATTGATGACGATATGGAGTTTAGTAATTACATTGGGTCCCTCAATAAATCCCGTGCTTGTACATTATACTGATTGTGTTTGATTGTGTTCTATAAATGTTTGTTTTTGTATTTCATTAGGAGGGAACTTTATAGTCTCTCATCACCTCAGTTATTTTGCACTTGTAAAGATATCAAATGGTTGATTCAGAGGTAATTCTTTACTCATAAAACATAATTTGCTCTCTTAAGTAAAGGATGAGATGTTATTTTTCTTGAATTATTTTTTGTTCATTTGGTTGTAGCATGAAACTTCCCATCATGTTCATGTAATGCGTGATATGGAAAATGATTTTGAGTTTGTAGTAGGGATGGTTTTCTCAAATGAACTTGAAGCATATCATAAGTATGTGGCTTATGCAATCGGCAAAGGATTTGGAGTGAGAAAGGGTAATGCGGTTAAAAATAGAAAAGGTGAAATCACCCGGCGGACATTTTTGTGTAATTGTGAAGGGCATTTGGTCGGCTCATCTGATCAAGAAAAGAAATATGAGAGATTTGAAGTTAGATGTGGGTGTCTTGCTCATATCAAATTTAATGTTGATAATGGTGTCTATGAAGTCGTGGACTATGTTTCTGAGCATAATCATGCATTTGTACCAGAAGATCAAAAGCATTGATTAGATGTGGAAGAATGATATTTGACACGTGCTAGGGTGTTTTGGTTGACATGATTAAGGTAGGCTTTGGGGGGACTTTGGCATATAAGTTTTTAGCAAACGAAGCTAGAGAAAGCAAAAACTTGAGTTTCATCCTACGTGGTTGTCAAAACTTTTTGCAAACGGAAAGATCCAGGATTATAAGTGGTGGAGATTGTCAAAGTCTTTTGAACCATTTTCATTGCATGCAAATGCAAAACACAATGTTTTTCTATGCTGTTTAGGTAGATCAGGATGGTAGATTGAACAATTTATTTTGGAGAGATAGCTTGTTCAAATTTGATTATGACTGTTTTGGTGACGTGCTAGTGTTTGATACCATATACCGTACCAACAAATATAACATGATATGTGCACCTTTTGTTGGGGTTAATCACCATTGGAAGAATACTCTGTTTGGTTGTGCATTTTTGCTGGACGAGACTGCAGAATCATTTATTTGGTTATTTGAGGTGTTTTTGAAGTCTATGGGAAATAAGGCTTCGAAAACCATATTCACTTATCAAGACCAAGTCATGGCAAAAGCCATTAGAATGGTGTTTCTGAATACACGGCACCGTCTATGCACTTGGCACATCGAGAAAAATGCCCATCAAAACATTGCACATCTTTACCATAAGCTGGGTTTTAAGAATAAATATTTCTTAGCGCTTATGTATAAATGCAAATCAGAGGATGAATTTGAAGCTACATGGAGGGAAATGCAAGAGGTGTGGGGTATTGAGAATAACAATTGGCTTTAGAGATTATATGACTTTAGACATAAATGGAGTTCAGCTTTTGGTCATGACTCTTTTACATGTGGTATAAGGTCAAGTCAAAGGACTGAGAGCACCAATAATGTCTTCCAACATAAGTCGATGAAGACATTGTCTCTTGTGGAATTTGTCCACCATTATGAAGAACAACTGAAGCATATGAGAGAAGTTGAAAGTCAAGATGATTACAGTTCTCGTAGGACAGCCAAATTGCAGGTTTTAAATAATGGGATCCTGATGCATGCTGCTTCGGTATACACTCGTACCATTTTTCAAAGGTTTAGTGAAGAATTTTTGCAAAGTCTCTCTGAACATATGTCAAGTACTAAATTTGATGGATCGGTTTCTTTATATACTCTCAAGTATATGGGGATGGGGATTCAAGGTGAATATGTTGTTAGATTTGACCCTATAGACTTTTCAGTTTCTTGTGAATGCAAATTATTTGAATCAAAAGGGTGGTTGTGTCGCTATGCCTTGCGCGTGTTGAATGTGAACATATCGATGGTTACGGTCATTCCATCTTCCTATATTTTGAAAAGATGGACTAAGGATGCCAAAAAAGGGATTGTGAATGATGAATCTCACCAAATGTCACCGGGTCCATCTAAAGTTATTCGATTTTCCACGTTAGTGTATGAATCCTTTGAATTGTTGAGTTTGGGAGCCGAAGGTGTACATACTATGAGAATATTGAGGAAGCACATGGTTAAAAGCAAAGGCTGAAATTTCATCATACAAATCAAGTATAGTTGTGACTGATGATGCTAGTGATGATGAGGATAATGAGGCTTCTTTGTGTGATATTTCGGTAGCGGACGGCATTCGAAGGAAACGAAAGGGAATAAGTTATGGAAGGTTTAAAAGCTCAAGTGAGAAAAAGAAGAAAAAATCTAAGAAAGGAACTCCCCCAACGCAAATAGAAAGTCGAGGTGAGTGACATATTATTCTAGTTAATATAATTAGTTAAATTTTTCACTTATATTTATTACTTTGTAATATAGAGTTGGTTGTCCAAGCGACACATAATGAAACTCATTTCCCATATTATTCAAGTAATTCAAATTAGTTTTGAAGTGCCTTTTATCCTAGCAATATTGGTGGTCCTACTGTAAATCTAAATTTTCATAATCAGGTATATTGCACTTTGTCCTTAATTTGTATTTATGTTTTACTAATTGGTCATTTTTTTATATGGATGCAACAGCCACCATACATCATGTTGTCGAGGATTATGAGTGGATTTTGCCCATTCCCTAGTCGGGTATTTAATAGTTTGGTGATCAATCAGTTTGTTTGTATGTTATTCAAGTTACTGTGCCTCTTTATGCTAATGAGGTAATTTATTTTATGTAGATGCAATCACCATACATCATGCCGCCAAGGGGTGGATTTTCCCCATTCACTAATCAGGTGCTTATTATGAAATCATTTTAGATTCTAGAGTTATTTCAACTTTTTATTACTATTGTAATATTTATTGTTAATTGTTTCTTTTGGATAGATGTTGGAGTATCATAATCAATCTCATGGAACCATTTTGTGTAAGGTACAACTTGGCTATTGTTGATGTGGGATTACTTGAAACATATTGATCTAGGCATATTGCTTAGTAAAATGTAAATATATTTGTTATTCTCTTATATAGGGGTCATCGAACTCTTTTCAGCATCCTGAGATGTATGAATTTGAAGGCCCCTTTGAAAGCATAGACAACGCACAGTCACAACATAAATAGTCGGGGGGAACCCTTGTAATAAGTCCCTTCACCGAATAAAATATTTTTTGCGTCCTTCTCTGATATGGTAACTATTGTAGTATGAGTTCGCTGTGACTTGGGATTTGCATATGTGCCTTTTATATGAAAAGATCTTCCTTTGTATTTCCTTGGCTGTTACTTGGAAGAAATGTTTTTATATTTCCAATTTTCTTAGTTGGGCTATAAATCCAGCAGGAACCAAGTTCAATATTCATTTGACATGATGTAGTGATTAACTGGGGGCATAGTTTCGATAGACATTAGAAAAGGATTGTTAGAGTAGTAAAGATTTAGTTCTATGTAAGTTATGATCTTATCAAATTTGCTGAGAGCTTCACCCATATGCAGAGATTCATTCTTCTTCTGAGTATTCACTATGTTCTCTCATTTTCTGCGGTTATGGGTATTCCAAAGAAAGATTTGTTTGGGCTCTGATATATGTCGTTGGCATTTTTTTCGTCTTGGATATGGTGGTACAATTGTTAATGGAATTCAAAGCTTGTGGATTGCACATGTAATCTTCTTTTTTTGTCTTATCCTTTACCGTTCTTCTCAAGTTTTAGCCAGTTCATAAAATGGGCAAAGTTGTTCCTGATATATAAGTTCATTGTCTTCTTTAGCCTTCGGAAAATATCCAATATGCAGCTTTAGTGATTGGAGGCTCATTCATGATTGAAGGTATTTCGACTTACCATTTGTTTTGGGCTACTACTTACAATGAAATCATTGGTATTTTGACTTACCATTTAGTGATCGGAGGCTCATTCATCAGTAATATTTGTTCAGTGATGTGCAAATCAAGAATGATATGAAGTTGCCAACTAGTATGAAGTATTAGTGTGAAGTTTCAAGAATGATCTGAAGGAACAAGTTCGTATGGCGTCGTCTCACAATTTAGTATTTGGGTCCAGAATGCATGAACTCATAAACATCATGCTAGAAAGCCGCCAACTGGTATGGAGCATCGTGTGAAGTTTCAAGAATGATATGAAGGAACGAGTTCGTATGGCGTCATCTCGCAATTTAGTATTTGGGTCCATAATGTGTGAACTTCCTGAGTCTGGAATTCATGCATTTCGGTTCCTCTTCTTCTATAGTAGATATCCCGGTCATCTCATGGTTAAGCTATATGAGTGTATTTATTGGTTTGTTTCCATCTTTGTAACTCAATGTCTTATCTCTCTGGAAAAGGATTGGAAGACTTAAAGTTGTATTTATTACAATTATTTTTAGTGCCATAGCTTGAGTTCAAAGATGTTTGATAAGTTGAGAGAGTGAAAGCAATACAAAATTGGCCATCATTTGAAGTAAATGATTATGCGAAAGCTATGCTTTTGGACTTTAAGAGGAAGTGATCAATAGCTTCTCTATCTCTTGTTCTCTTTTCCACCTCCAAATGCAGATTAATATGTGTCTGAAGGACAATTGTGAATCCTCCACCAAAGGCAAAAAGAGGAAGAGAAGTAGTATAACTAAATGTTGAAAGTTCTCTGCTCCAATCTTTGACATGCTAAAGTCAGGCATTAATGTTTGTTATTGATTCCGTTAGAAAAGAGGAAGATATAGGCATCGATTTTGGTTGAAAATTCAAAGGGCAAGATATTGAAACTCGATTCAATCATGAGAACTCTAAGGTAACTCTAGATAATGCCCATTCAATTGTACTGGAGTTAAGATGGAAAAAGGTAAATATGAACTTAGATAATGCGATTGTGTTCATTAGAGCCAACGCAACATAATGTTTGATTCAAGCTAGCAAAATTACAAGTTCCAACCATCTAGTTTTTCTGGACAAGTAGTCCTAATAAAACAACACATAATATACATAATAGACAAACAAAAAAAAATACACCTAACTTGCAAGACACTTAAATGGTGCACATTATGACTCAATCCCTGCAGCTTCTGATCAGTCTTCTTGTGTTCATCTTTCAAATGCTCAAGTAATTACTTAATGCTTCTCATGTCATCTTCAAATATTGCAGGCGGAGCCTTCGTGAAACAATAAGCCACATCGCTTGTAGGAAAACACTGAGAAAAGAAGTTACACTTCTTATCCTCACAAGTATAGTAGAGCTTATGTTTGTTTTTGATAGATCTGAAATTCTCACGGCAGCACGCCTACCACACTTGCACATTCTATTTTGAAAGGTCAATCTGCTCCAATTATCTTCATTCACACTGGATGAAGACATCATGCACCTGCAAGACATCACCATTCACAACTTTCTTTCACTTCTGCTCAAACTCAATGACCGCTAGTAGTAAGTAGTCCACAAACACCCATAGCTTCTTATCTTTGAAAACTTACGGAGGTTCCAAGCTACCTACGAGAATCCCGAGATCAATATCCTTGTCTTCAAACTTTTTGATGAAAGGATGACTCTAAAATAACGAAAGAATTCATTGTCAATTACCCATCAGGCACAATGTTATATTTGAACTAGATAGTTAACAATTACATATCACTTACCAAAAGGTCCAAAGATGAAGATCTTTCTTGACGGTCCTTTTGTAAGCTGAGAACCATTGAGGAAAGTGCATGTCAAAAAACAATGTTGAGCTCTAATACTACAAGGAGAAGATGAGGAGAAAGTTGAGGGAAGTATCATGATTTATCTTTTGCATTTGTTTTGGCTCATGCCCAGCCTCAACAAGCACTATAGGTCACTTCCAAATTGATAGATCTAATTTATACATAAAAGGAAGAGTGGAGAGTTAAAATAATAGCGTGATCTTTTTATGAGTTGATCCTAACTTGTTTCTTTAGGGTGCAAATCAATTTGTCCCTCCACTTCAAAGAAGATCATAAAATTGTCCCAAAACAAACATTTTTAGAACACAATCACTCACGCAAACATTTTTAGAGCACAATCAAACACAATGAGCAGAATGTACAAGCATGGAATTTCTTTAGGGACCCAATGTAATTACTAAACTCCACATCGTCATCAATAACGAACGGAAAATCCAAATTAACGTTATTGGGGTTTAATCTCTTACTTACTACCAAACAGGAAAAATCATCTCAATGGGGTGTCATGGACTTATGTCTTTCCCTCATTGGAGCCACACCTACTTTTCCTTAGACAGTTTCATGTCTAATCTAATATCTCTTCTAGTCTGTTTGTAATGCAATAGAGTAGTCTCATCTCCGCCACAGTCATTTTTGCGTACATGTTGGTACTTAATTGCCTAACACCCTGTCCTTGAAGCATTCCTAGCTTTATTGCCGCATTAAATAATTTTTATTTCATTTTGTCCCTCCACTTCAAAGAGGATCGTACCAAAAAAGCACCAAATGCTTTCCCCTGTTCATTTACTTGCAAAAGACATCTCTCCCATTCTCAAATTATATTGCAGCTCATAATTGGTCACAAAAGTGATGGATAAACAGAAAATAAACCAAAACCAAATAATGTCTAGGCCCATAAAGATCACAATTTAGGTGGGATACACCAGTTTTCGTTTTTTTTTTGGGGGGGGGGGGGGGGGGGAGATAGCTTGCTGTCAATCTAGTAGGAGGCAAAGAATGTGCTAGATAGACTTAATATTGCAGAGGACTTATGCCAATGTTCAAACCCTAAAAGCATGAATTATGAAACTGCCAAAAAGGTAAGGCACGAGCTCGGTTTCACGTTAGGGCAAAAACGATTGGAATAAGTTCAAGTCCTACAAAACTCTAATCTGAGAATGGGGCTTCGGGAGGCAACGTAGAGGGCGAGTCAGAGCCCAAGATCGCCAACGGGGCTTCGGGAGGCGACGGCAGAGTCGCGGTTTGTCACAGAGAGCTGAGCGGAATCGTTTCTCGAGACAGAGAGAGAGGGGCAGAGGACGAATCGCCAATGGGGTCTTCGAAGGCAACGGCGTAGGCAGAGACGGCCGCGTGGTCAGGATCTGAGCCACCGATGGGCTCCGGGAGGCGACAGCAAAGGCAACCGGCAGAGGTGGAGATGCGGTTCACAAAAAGAGCCGTGCTTTGTGGAGGAAAGATAGAGAGTGAGCAGATGGGTTTTCTCGGAAGGGGATGGCGGAGGCAACTGGCGGAGGCGCGGCGGGTTCATGACCAAAGGAGGCGAAGTCACGGAGGAAGAAAGAGCTATCGGGAGGTCGGTAATGGGAGAAATTTTGAGCAGGAGGAGTGAGGGAGAGAGAGACCAGGTCAAAAGTGAAAATGCAATAGCAGCGAGGGTTAATGGAGGCTAATGGAGATTGGGAGAGAGAAGGGAAAGAGTTAGATTTTTGAATAAATCTGACTTGTGAGCCCGCTGGCCATGTGTCATGCACTCAATGGTGTTATGCACAGCCTACGTGGAGTATTCCACTCAGCCAATATTTTCTCAGAAGAGAAGATGAAAGAGAGAGTCACGTGAAATGACGTGAAAAGAGGTGAAGTGAAGACAAAGTCTGATGACGTTGGGCAACTCATTGAACTCCAGACCTCTCTCTTGGATTCAACTTGCCGAGTGGCGAAGACGAAGTATGCTTTTGGTGAAGTAACATGTTTCGGTTTTGTTCGTGTTATGATCCGGACCGAACTGAAACACATCACAATACCCATTTTATAACTGTATACTTGAACATAATGAGACCCGAACTGAAAATAACTTAAAATTTTGGGCCGGTTCGGGTCGATTTGTATTTCGATTCGGGTATATGGTTCGGTTTTGACACCCTTACTGGCTCGGGTCCCTGTTTTCAGAATAAAAAATTATATAAAAAATCAGAAAATGGTTAGAAATAGGAAGCTTGACCTATTTGTGTGACTTTAGCTTTAGACTTGGTTTAGTTTCTTTATATAACTTAGATATTTTAGTGAGTTACCTTTGGTATAAGTTTAGTATTAAGAGATGATAAGAAACTGTCACGCCCCGAACCCCTCGAAGCGCGATCATCCCACATACTGGTCAATTTTGATGCGACGTCCCAGGACGCGTCGCCGACCCATCTCCCAAAACATAGCATAAGGCACATGCGGAAGCAATAATTAAAACACCCGTACAAAACAATACATGACCAAGGGTAATAGAGACATCACTCAACGGATAATCCAACAACACTATTAACTGCCATTAAAACACTTACAATATTCATTTTTACACATCATATACAAACAGCCTACCAAAAACAGATCAACAGCCACTAAGGTCAAAAGGTTACTGGCCCTACCACTCTACGACTAAGACTGATCCTAGGAACATCAATCCGGATCAGATTCTGATGACTCGGACTCAGCTTCGATTATTTCATCCTCCGAATCCATCTGTTCGACCTTGCCATCTTGTTCGGAATCCTGCTCTATGGGCTCTGAATCCTCATACTGATCGGGTACACCAGGTATCCTCTAACAGGGGTCTGAAAAACGGGGTTTAAACAACTATGAGGCGAATCTCAGTGAGTAGGCCCCCTAAACCGAAACTAGGCTAACATGCACCTCCCGACAAGCAAATCAACACAACAATCAACAATAATGTCAATCAAATGACCTAGGTCCTTGAGCTCGGGTCGCTTACCTTGCTGACCCTGCAGGTTAGGCAATAACAACATGATAATCACAACACATGCGTGTACACACTTGGCCACACGTACGCCACACGCATGCTCATGCTTCAAAGTGCCTGTCTCACACACGAATCACCAGCACGCACATTAGCCACATACTCTGGCACACATTTGCCATGCTTATGAATTTTCTCAAATCATGCACTCTGGCACACGACTCATTTTGCAGTTTATAAACCGACCCGAAGGCCACGACCCGAAGGCCCACAATTTTCCGACCCGAAGGCCACGGCCCGAAAGCTCACAACACTCCGCGGCCCGCGCCAAAGCGCATCCGGCCCAGTATCTCTAGCCTACTTCAAAGTGCATGAGGCGCAACACCGATCTCCTTACGGACCAACGCCGTCTTCCGGACAAACCGGGCATCATCCCGCTTCAAAGTGCATGAGGACGGCACGACTCGAAGGCCACGACCCGAAAGCCTTAAGTGATCATGGGGCACACTGCCAATTTTTATCTGAACCCAGCGTAAAACGCATCGGGCAATTAGGTGATCACATGCTTATGTCAGGCACGCATTCTCGCACAATCTCATCTCATGCCCCATTCTCGGCATACATAATGCGTGGCCATGCAATGTCGTACGATGCAACATGAGCATTTAATTTCAACACGGCATTTCAACAAACATGCCAAATCAACGTGCTCAAACAGCCAATCAATTGCCCATACTTATTTGCATAACATGCGCACTTGGCTAACTAGTACCATGTGGCCCAAAACATAATTCACGCACTTGGGCAATAACATTCACATCAATAATTGGCCAATCACACACCGCATTGCTCGAACACGCAATCAGGCGGCATGACATTAAACAATTGAGCACGACAATCAATAAGCCAGTTAACCCGGACATACCCGGCAATTCAGCCAATAAATCTCCAATTTAATGACACCAATCCGAATATCCATTATTGGGGATGGCTACTATTCACCCTATTATCGACTTCCAATTCGCCACTAGATCGCCACAATAATCCATCAAATTAATCGCGATCTCACCTCAACCTCGAACTATTAATATCAATTCTCCTCAAATCGTACCACTAATAAACTAAACTGGGTCCGTCTAAAAATGTACACTGTCCTAGACTGGGTTTAGAAGGTTATACTCACATTGTCGATTTTAAATCCGGTCACGCCTCAATGTGGACAGCCACCAATCAGTCCGAGAGAGATAAAAACTGAGAATGAACAAAATCGGGTCCAAACTGGGCAGTTACATAGTAGCCGAAATCCATTTGAAATAAATAGTAAATCAATTCCAAAAATTCTGAAATTTGGATATGTTGTACAAAACATCTCGATGAACATTTTCCATGAGAACATGAAACCCAGTTCTAACCGTAAACACCTCGTTTCGACACTCAAAGTCAGACGAAATCCGGTTCGCTCGGACAGCCCCTCAGGCCATCAAAATACAACTCATTCGGTACCCAAATCATTTTGAAAAACCTTGAAATATTTATATGTTATATCCACAAATGTCCCCAACAATTTTTGTGAAGGAAGTATTTCGAAAATAGGCCTGGAAAAATTTATAAAAATTCGAACAGACCCGAAGGTCGAGTGAACAGTAATCGGGCAGTTTTATTTCGGTCCAAAGATAGACTTCCGAATGGCATCAAATGATTTCCAAAAATTCCCAAATTAAAATATGTTATACTTAAAGATGTTGGGAACAACTTTTATGAAGAACACTTCTTCAAATTCTGGCCACACAGGTCACACCAAAAATAACAAAATCTGGCAACGCAACAGTAACCGTACCGGAAATCAACAAATATGCATCACCAAGCAAACTAAGCTCAACAAACCACTAATCCAATTATCCACAGCCTTTAAACCATCCTTAAATCATCACCTTAGGCCATTAAAGTCACCACAACTTCAGCCCCAAATCAGCCCACACTAATTAACCCCTAAAATACCATAATAACCCCTAAACTTGTCCAAAGTGCACACAAGCCTAATTAAGGGTTAGGGTTTCCATTCACTTGGATTCCTAAGCTCCTTAAAAGGCTGAACAAGTGGGGAAAATGGGTGGGCTGAGCCGATTCCACGGCGGTG